TGTGCAGACTAACTTTGCGAAAGTTGACATCTTTATCCTGCTTGGCTTCTGCCCGTCTGTGTACTTCCCTCTGAGGCAGGGCAGAGTTTTCCTGGCGTCCGTGTTTCACATTTCTTGCTAACCTCGTTGAATTATATTTTTGCACATTTTTGTCAATTGCTCCTTAAGGGTTATCCAGATGTACAATAAAATAATCTATAAGTAATTATCACTTTGTCTTCTCCTTTCTCGTTTTTGCACTTCCAGTGTCTTTGCCCTGATTGCAAGGGATGTGCCTCCAAAGCAGTGTGAGAATGCACCCTGGAAACTCGAATGTCTTGCTCTTCATGGCTGGAGGGAATGGTCAGGATGAGACAGAGGTCATTTATCATGTAAAACAACTATTCACCACTTTCTCTTTCATCAGGAGCATTTCATTCTCTATTTCAAAGCATAGAGAATGGATGTTGACTTCCATCCGCTGTTTGTTGGCATTCCTAGGGCTGGTCATGCTATTTTTCTCTTTGCTCTCTTAAATGGTGATTTATATTAATAGACCCAATATTGAGCCATTGCTACTTGGACCGGGCAGAACCCAGAACAACACACACTTAGTCATGGTGTATAGTTCCCCACACACTGCTGCGCTCCATTTGCTCATATTTTATTTGGGCTTTTTACATTGCTATTGGTACGTTACATTGGTCGGTGGTCTGGGTTTGCTTTAAACTGGTCTCTTTGGTGTCAATGTCATGCTGGCTTCACAAAATAATGTGGAAGCTTTCCTTCTATTTTTGTTTGGAATAGCTTAAATACTGTTGAAATACATGGGGAAATGGCACAGCTGAAAATGGACATTTTCCGCTCTTTATCCAAGTAAGCTCGAAATGGGTCTTTCTATGTATATCTGTTGGAAATTAAAATGTAAGTCGGACATTATGAAGAAATTTCTATTTTATGTCAGTTGAGATTATGAAGTCCAAGAGTAGGAGTTTGCTGAATTCCAAGGTAGACTTGCCCTTAAATCCATTTGGTGCCCAACATACGTTTGTTGGTTAATTCAAAAGTTGTTTGAAGTCCAGATTGTAATCTTTTTAAAGCCACACTTTTTATGTTTACAAGCTGAATAATGAATGATACAGAAGAGTATAATTCAGTGAGGGATGAAGTCCCTGTTTTTAGGGAGTGTAGCGTCCTATTGAACAAGGGGTCTTATGGCCTGACCATGCCCTGGATAGGCCTGTGGTGACCATGCAGGGCTCTTGGAGGAGCTGGTGTGAGTATCAAAGTCAGGAGGGGTCTGGGAGGACCCAGGAAGGGGGAGGATAGTAGAGAAGGGGCCACCAGCGTTCACAGTGATGGAGGTACTCTGTTGAGCTCGGGAAGGCTGCACTCTTAAAATGGCCAGTGAGACACAGGCCCCTGTCAGAGGACAGGTCACTTTTACAAAGAAACTTTTAAAACAGGTTTTGCAAAATTCTGGGGGCCATGAGCAGAGAGAGTGGTGATATCTGGGCCCTGGCCTTCTCAATTCCAGGCAGGGCCAGGTTGGGCTGACTTTAACCAAGTCACAGCTTTTCTTTGTCCCGGATGGAATCTCTCAGAGACACTGGCTTCCCAGGGAGTTTGTGGGATGCAGGCATTCTGTGTCACCCTACTTCTGCTCAGCATCCAGCAACAAGAAGGCCCCAGAGAGCCCGAAACAGAGCTTGACCTCCGTCTCTGACCCCAGCTATGCTGCAGGTGGTTCAGTCACCTCAGCCAACAGCAGACAGCCCGGGGCCTCTCTTCCTGGGAGGGAGGACACTGGTGTGCTGTGCCCCTTGTAATAAAACCCTCACCTGTTTTAGACCCCGCGTGGCCTCCACATGCCATGAACGTGCAGTCTGTGTGCCCTGAGACCCGGCGTCCTGGCACTCGTGCTGTCCTGTGCAGAGCAGGGCCACACTACTATTCTTAGTCCCAGGATTCCAAGCTCATACAGGAGTGAGGAGGGCTCCCCACAGACATTTGCTACCAGACTGTGAGACGGGGAATAAATAGAATCTAGGCTTTGTGACACCCAATTCCCAGGTCTAGCTAAAGAAAAGAACACAGCCTCAGTTTGGCCCTGGTGTGGTGCCTCGGCCTCTCCATCTCATGCTGGGGTTTGTCTGCAGGGCTTTGGCCTCAGCACTTGGCTGATGTCCTCAGCAGGGAGGACGTGGTTTGCCTCTTTTGGGGACTACTATGAACTGGCTGCCGCAGCTTCCATTAGCAGCTCCTCAACTCAAGCTAAAACTCAGGAACTCCCTCTGGGGGCTGGGCTCAGCAGCACCTGCCCCTCCAGGATTGCAGTGCACCCTGGGTGCTTTCTGGAGCAACTGAGGAGAACATCTTCCTGGGACTGTGGTCATGGCCAGCAGCCCATGTGTCCTCATCACACTGGGTCTCCAAAACGGCATGGGGCGCAGCTGTCCACTGCCATGGGGTGGCTTCTGGGCAACAACTGCCCTTAGACTCCAGCCTGAAGTTTGGGAAAGGCACTGGTGCCAGGTGAACAAGAACAAGCCCCCACCCAGCTCTCAGACTAGTCAGCCATATTCCCAGCTATACCTGCTCTGAACTGTGGGGAGAAGGGCCAGACTGGAGGAGGGTGAGTGCTGGGGACAGGAGGTGGGAGAGAGGTGAGAAAGGAAAATGCAAAAGGGGAGCCTGGCCTTCCAGCTGCAGAACCTCAGTCCCAGCCCGCCCCCACAACCTGCTCCCCCAGCCCCAGACCATCCCACAGCTTTCTGACCCCCCAGATCCCTAGACCACCTCCCAGCCTGCTGACCCCCAGCCTCCAGCCCATCCCCCAGCCTGCTCCCCCAGCCCCAGGCCATCCCTTAGCCTGCTCCCCCAGCCCCAGACCAGCCCCCAAACCTGATGACCCTCCAGCCCCTAGGCCACCCCTTAGCCTTCTTCCCAGCCCCAGACCACACCCCCCAGCCTGCTGACCCCCAGCCCCTAGCCCATCCCTCAACCTGCTGACCCCCAGCTCCAAGCCTATTCCCCCAGCCTGCTGACCTCCCAGCCTCAGTACCACACCCTGCCTGCTCCCCCAGCCCCCAGCCCACCCCCAAGCCTGCTGACCCTCCAGTCCCCAGGCCTCAGCACGCCCCACCCAGCCCCATTCCAGAGCACAGATAAAAGTGAAACCTGAGCGGCAAATGTTTGTGGAGCTGCCGCCAATCAAGGGCTTCGTTGCCAGGGTAACCGGGACACTTCATCAGCTCCGTGAACAGATGGTCAGTGAGCAACAGGCAGCATATGTTCCTGTAAGCCCTGACACGGGCACAGATGGAGGGTGGGCGGGAGGCTCTCCTCCCTTCCCATGGGTGCGGCACTGCCGGGAGGCACAGAGGCCAGGGGAACCCGCGTGGTGCTGGTGAGTGCAGATTACTAACAGGCCAGTGCCTCATCCAGCCTCGCTTAACCAGAGCGCAGCACCGTTAACAACAGCCAGGCACACAGAGCTGCGTGCTGAGGCTGAGTCACGGCCAGGAGTCCTCGTTAGCGGCCTGCCCACCTTCCTGTGTCACTGTCTCAGGCCTCTGGTTTCTGTGGATCTTTACAGGAGAAATCAAACTGCCCTGTACAGGACAGTTTACAGCTTTCAGGGGTGGAGGTGGGGTCCCAGAGGGTGCGGTCTCAAAGCCAATCAAAGTCAGCATACACAGGTTCACGTGCGCTGGCCACTGGCTAGCATGACAAGTGACTCACCTCTCAGGCCTTCTATTCCCTGCATTTAGTTTGACCCCTCAAAGTGAGGTCCCCAATCTCTCCACCACCACCAGCATGAGGATGGCTCAGGGAGAAAGGATCTTGGTGATGACACCGTTGATTGCATTATTACAGCAATTGCCTTTCACTGAACATCTGCTAAGTCCACACCCTGGATACACCTCTGAGATCCCATCTCTGCTGCCCAGCAAAGGTGTCCAGCTGGCTCTGAGGTCCAGGCCCAGCTGGGCTCCAGGAAGGCGGTCTTGTGGTCACAGGCCACAGGGCAGGCCTAGCTACGTCTGCCCTGGGGCTATGCTGTGGCCATGAGAAGCCAGGCATTCTTTCTCCCGTGGACAGTCTCATCACCTTCAGAGAAGCTCCGGGCTCCTCTCTTCAGTGTCTGCTGGTCCTGGGTGCATCTCTGTCCAGAGTGGACACAGTGTCCCAGCTCCCAATCTATGTCTGGTCTCTATTCTCAGGCCTGTCTGTGCTCTACATGCATCTGCCTGGTTCACAGGCCTCATGAATTCACTAGTCACTGGTACCCAACACCAGAACAGATCTGACCCTCTAACAATCTTCAGTCAGATCCTATCCTACCCCAGGAATGTCCACAGCAGATTTCTCTTTAGCTGGATGTGTTCCAGTGCTGAGCAAGACTCTGCCAGAGAGCCTTGTGGAATGGAACGCCAATATTCTGTCTCTAGGTCAAATGCAGTAGAAATCCATCTGCAAGCTCAGAAGTTATTAGGAAGAGGCCAGCAGGGGCAGTCATTTGACAGTTCTCCTTTTCATACAAATCAGGTTAAAATCTGAAGGAGCAGCCTTGACTGACCAGAGGGATAAACTCCGTTTGTATAAAAACAAATGCCCTGGCTTTGCAGGGAGGCTGGGGCAGGAACAACGTTTGCATGAATGGGGCCTGCCAGGTCCACTGGTCTCCGCAAACAAACTACTCATGACTGTGCCCAGTCAGACATGAGCTGCCAGGAAAGCCAGGAATGTCCCTCCACCTCCTTTCTGCTTGACTTGGTTTACCAACGCTGCACATCCAAGAGAAAAAAATTAGTGTGCATTTTCTCTTCAGGGGCACTTGTGTGAAAGACATCCATCTTCCTGTCATCATCCCTGGGTGAGCCCAGGGCCAGCAATACCTGGGCCACAGCTTCCCAAAACCAAGAGAAACAGCCAGCAGGACAAAGCCAGGGTGGCCCTAAGCATGCCACATGGCCCAGTGCTATGCCAAGGAAACTTCAAGGGCATCTTCAAGGAAATGTGTGAATCTGAGTAAATTTTAATCACTCCAATTAAGCATTTAGAAAAATACTTGTTTAGTGGGAAACGTATAGCTCTAAATGCCTATCTACAAAAGAAGAAATGCTTAAAATCAATGAACCAAAGTTCCATCTTAAAATGCTAGAAATAGAAGAGCAAAATTAACACAAAAATAAGTGTCAACAAAAAATGAACAGAAATCAATGAATAAAGAGCAGACAACGGAGGAAAAAAAGGATGAAATAAAGAGCAGACAACAGAGAAAAAAAAGATTGGAGAACTTGATAAACTACAGCCTAGAGTGATCAAGAGAAGAGACAGCACATGTGAGCAAGATCAGGAATGGAGGAGGGTCATCATAACAGACCCTACAGGCACCAAGGGAATCAGCAGCAGATGGTCATTGTCTGGGGCCTGGGCTCAGGCTCAAGGCAGCTTTTTGGACAGAAACCTGTGTATTGATTGTGAGAGTTACATGGCTATTTCCATTTGTTAAAAATGTAAAATTTTGTTGGATGTACATTATACCTCAATAAACTTGATATCAACAGTAAAAAGGTTTTTCTGCCTCCTTAGAGACAATTTTCCATGTTTCTCTGTCATAAATTCACATATTCATTACTCTCTGCTCTGATTCCACACACTGTGAGGCTCTTGTGGGGTGAGTGCTGCTTGCTTCTGTCACAACGAATACCTATAATAGGTGCAGCTGGGCCCATCCTCTCCCTTGGGCCAACCCACACCTTTCCTAGGTGCCATCCTCACCCTCCAAGACTCTGTTGTGTGGCTTCCACCAGCTCCAGCCCGAGTCATCAACAGGGTTGGCTCTTGAGCTGCACAGGCCTCTGAAGAAAATGAGTGTCCCTTTGCTGTCGGGATTGGGTGCTCGGAGGGGGCCTGGGAGTCACTTCTGCTTTTCCCAGGCAGCAGCCACCCTGAGGAGGAACTGGGGGTGTCAGGCAAATGAGTAAGGTGCCCTTTGGGGTCCACTAGGCTCTGTGATCTCTCATGACCAGACACGTATTTTTGCCTTTGTTTAGGCAAATAGAGCCATACACAGAATCATTTCAGCTGGGCCAAATCTATAAAAGGAAAAAAAAAGGGGGCCGGGCGCGGTGGCTCACGCCTGTAATCCCAGCACTTTGGGAGGCCGAGGTGGACGGATCATGAGGTCAAGAGATTGAGACCATCCTGGTCAACATGGTGAAACCCCGTCTCTACTAAAAATACAAAAAACTAACTGGGAATGGTGGTGCGTGCCTGTAGTCCCAGCTACTCAGGAGGCTGAGGCAGGAGAATTGCCTGAACCCAGGAGGCGGAGGCTGCGGTGAGCTGAGATCGCGCCATTGCACTCCAGCCTGGGTAAAAAGAGTGAAACTCCGTCTCAAAGACAAAAAAAAAAAAAGGGAAAAAAAAAAAAAAACAGATTTAAAAACTCTTTCAGAATGATGCATTTTGGGAACAGTAATCTCACAAAACCCAATCACATATTTGTCCGAGACCCACTATATGGAAGTCACTGTCCCAAGCCTTGTGGGGACAGAAATGAACACAACAATCCCCTGCTGCCGTGTTGACTTCTGCCCCCCGTGAGGCCTGTGCCCCATGCACAGGGCTAGCTGTGCTTCCACACTCCGGATGCGCTGCGGTGGGTTCCTAGCTGCGGGATTGACTACTGGAGTCTGGTTCTCGGGACCTTCCCGGTCTTCATTGCACTGGTCCGCCTCAGGTGGAGGGAATGGAGGGGCTGCTGTGAGGCCGTGGGCTTCTCCAGAGGACTCTGAAGTCCTCCTGGTCCCTAGAGAAAGCACTTCTTTTGGAGACCCGCACGGCCAAATAGGGCAGTCAAGGTCGCGGTGCAGGCGTCACTGTGGCCTGCCCCCGCCCTGCAAAGTGCTGTCTGAAGTGAACCCCAGGCTTCCCTCATTGACAAGGCCCCCATATGGTCTTCCGAGCTGTGCTGCCTTCCTGGAGGCTCAACCTGGAGCTTCTAGAAGCTTTGGGAACCTGATTGGGTGGCTGTGTGGGAATGCAGATGCTAAATTTGGCCCTGCCCATCTCAATCTTGAATTCCAAAGCAATGATCGACAAGTGTCACCTGTAGTTCATGACTCCAGAGCAAGTAGCCCAGGCATCCATGAATCCTCAGCCACAGGATGGGGGGGCAGCAGTGACCAATGGCTGCACGATCAAAGTCGGGACCTGAAGGGTGGTGGGGAGAGGGGACGCTGTGGGAAGACCTTCTGCAGCACCCGCAGACCTTGCCAACAGCTGGGGTGCCAGCAGCTCTGCCCAGCTCTGGTTGACACGGACTTCCAGTCCAGACACCCTTGTCTGTTTCCCCAGACCTGAGCCTGTGAGAACAGAGCATGCTCATCTCCTCCCCACTGTAGCCTGAGCTCTCCATCAGCTGAGGTCCAGGACCAGCATATCAGGCTGAGTGGCTAAGAAAGGGAAGTCCAGTTCCTCACTCAGGGTCTGAAACCAGAATTAAGACAAGGGGAGTGTCTGCAGAGAGGTGCATTGTCTACCTGCAGAGGGGCCCCTCATCTAGTCTCTGCAGCCACCTGTGACTTCTGGACCCTATTGGACAGTATTTTTCCTATGGCTCCTGTGATATGTAACTACAGAGCTCGTGCTTAAAGCAACACAACTTTATTATCTTATAGTTCTGGAGGTCAGGAGTCCAAAATGGGTCTCACTAGGCTAAAATTCAAGGTGTTTGCAAGTCTCCAGGCGAGAGAACTGTTCCTGTCTTCGGCTTCTAGAGGCAGCCCGCACTCGTTGGCTCATGGCTGCATCACTCCAACCTTTGTTTCTGTCTGGCCCTCCTGCCTCCCTCTTATGAGGACCCCAGATGCATGCAGGGCCCATCTGGATAATCCAGGACCATCTGATCCAAGAGCCTCAACTTAACCACACTTGCAGAGTCCTTTTGCAGACCCCAGTCTGGTGGGGACAGCACCAGGCCCCACCACCTGCCCCACGAGCCTGCCATGCTCTCAGCTGTGTGTACCATAGAGACAGGCAGAGCTTGGCAACCAGTGGCAAACACAATGGGGATGATACCAGGGACAGCAAGTAGCAAAGTACTGGGACCACACCTGGGGGGCCAGGCCCTTGTCACAGCCTTCCTGCTGCTCAGTGAGTGGGACAGGGAGGGAAGAGGACTTCACCTATCAACAGCAATCAGCCTCACGGGGCCTTGGAGGGCTAATTCCTCTGCAGTTTTTGAGTGCCTGAGAAGACTGACTTCAGTGAGTGGAGAGTAGGCCTGGATATCCCACATAGCCAGTGCCTCTGCACACCTGGCCTGAGCCCCTGGGAATTATTTTTATCCTGCTGTCATCCCCTTGGTGTGAATGGTACCTTATTAATCGGCTTCCCATTGTTGGGGCGAGTGGCCATTCCTTTCCCTGGCTAGCAGCAAGCTGTCAGCACTGTGGTGTCACATCAATTTGGAGTCAACCTTGTAGGCTCTGAGAATTTTACAGGAAGAGGTAATGATTTCCTGGTGTATATGTGAATGAATTATTTTCTCATTTTTCTCTGTCTTCAGACTTTGCTGCTCTCGTCCTGCTGGAGGAGGGATGTGGAGACAGCATTCTGGCCCCTGTCTACCATAGCTTTGCTGTGGGCTTCTAGGGGTGGGGCATTTAGCAGCTGAGCATCTCAAATACCAAGCACTGCTGGGGTGTGTGTCATGGTTGGGCACCCCAACCAGGTAGTGCAACTTTAGCACCAGCTGAGCTGCACAACCATCTGGGAACCCTTAAGAGAAATAGGACACAGGCATGGGACCCAAGGCTTGGTCATTCCACTCAGGGAGCCCGTTCTCACTCCTCAAGACCAGATTCTGTTCACCCTTGTGAACATTGTCAGAATCAAAATTGAGCTGCTTGAGTTAAAGCGCTAACAAACAGAGGAAGCTCTGGGAGACCATGAAGAGAGGGTTCTCCTGCATAAATGTCTGATAACAGGAATTGTCACAAAAGACTGTAAAACCCACAACCTTAAACAAGGCCATTGCACCCTTAAGCAAAAAATACTTCCACAAGGACAGCCGCTCACTGGTCTGTCCAACCTCAGACTGGTGCCACCCTTGTTATTGATTCATACAGCCAAAATAATTATCCCAAAACGATGTGATCCTCTTTAAAATTTTCCCTCTAAAAACATTTGTCCTTGTATTAGTTCTCAGATAGCTATAAAGATAATACCCGAGGCTGGATAATTTATAAAGGAAAGAGGTTTAATTGACTCACAGTTCCACGTGGCTGGGGAGGCCTCAGGAAACTTACAATCATGGCAGAAGGCGAAGGGGAAGCAAGGACCTTCTTTACATGGTGTCAGGGGAGAGAATTCCTAGCGGGAGAAATGCCAAGCACAAAACCATCAGATCCCATGAACACTCACTTGCTACCATGAGAACAGCATGGGAGAAACTGCCCCATGATCCACTCACCTTCCACTAGGCCTCTCCCTCAACACTTGGGAATTACAATTTAAGATGAGATTTGGGTGGGAACCCAAAGCATAGCCATATCAGTCCTCCTTTACCTCCCTGAATATGCTCAAAGTTTACTATGGCACATGTATTCCCATTGCAATGCCTACTCCCAAATAAATACCACTTTCTGTTACAGAGCCTGTCTCTGTTATTTAGGTTTACGTAAGTAGTGTCTAGAGCAGAACCTGGAAAAAGATTGCAATTGGAAGGAACTGGTGATTCTTAGACCTGGTGTTTAGTTCTCATTGGAACCCTTTGAGCTCTGCTTCTGTGGCTTTCTTTTCTACCCTGGTGAGTCTTCTCTCAGGCTGAGGTGCACTCTTTGTTAGAGGCTTTTTGATTTCATAGGAATTTGTTTTGGTTATAAGGCCACCTTTAATAAAGAATCTTACATCCCAGCTGGGACGATAAAAGACTTTTTGTCTTTTCCACCAAGTTCTTTCTGGTATAAAGACAAGTGTCTGATTCCTGTAGAATTTCCATTCTGTCTCTGAGTCATGTCTTTTCTAGTGAATTTGCTTTTGGTTCTTTCTGTGCATCTAATTTAATATTTTGTTTGATGTGGCTCTTTCCCATTTCTGGAAATCTTCTAAGAGCAAAAATAAGCATTCTTGGACACAGGATGGCTCATTAAAAGCCACCAGAATGGTTGCCACTATCTAAAACACTAGTCCAAACTCCTGACATTCCTGACAGAATTTATAGAATTTTCTTTGCCTTCAAGAGATTAGTAAGAAACAGAATGGGATTCTCAAACATGAAGGCAAGCCAGGTATCCTGGGACTCCAGCTGGCCCGTTCTCATGAACATTTTTAAACTGATGGGCAAATTACATCAAGGAAAATTCAGAGCTCAGTGGTCATTATCTCAACTTTCTAAAAAACCCTCCAACTATAGAGTTAGCATTCTAAGTCCTCTATTTTTTTCTGCCTATGTCCAATTTGCTTACCCTTCTGCTGGTATTGAGATAAAACGCACTGCTTATGATATTACAGCCAAGATCCTTTTTTAAAAAAAGTCTTAAAGGGTGACCAGGCACAGTGGCTCATGTCTATAATCCCAGCACTTTGGGAGGCTGAGAGGGGTGAATCACAAGGTCAGGAGTTTGAGACCATCCTGGCCAACATGGTGAAACCCCATCTCGACTAAAACACAAAAATTAACTGGGCATGGTGGCACACACCTGTAGTCCCAGCTACTTGGGAGGCTGAGGCAGGAAAATTGCTGGAACCCAAGAGGTGGGTTGCAATGAGCCGAGATCGTGCCCCTATACTCCAGCCTTGCGACAGAGCAAAATTCCACCAAAAAAAAAAAAAAAAAAAAAAAAGTCATAAAAGGCTTCCAAATTACCGGTTTTACATATTACAATAGCTTCATTGTAACCAACAACCTAGACACTTTTTAAAAATTTAAATTTAGATTTGCCTAACAGTTTCTTAGGGTGATGGAACAGTTAACTGAAGGACTGATAGTCTAAAAGGAAAGACCTAGAAAAATGTTTATAAAAGTTGGGCTCTAAGATCAAAGAGGTCAAAATCTTGAGCTCAGAGCAGTACTATAATTTTTTATATATCTGGCATCAACATTGCTTTTTCTGTCATGCAGGAGCCAAGGGAAAAAGCCCCCCAAACCTGCTAAAATGTTTCCCCACCTGCACTGACTAGTCAAGGAAACCAGACTGCAAACAAAACAGATTTTTTACTAATTCAAGGCTAACTTGGACATTTGTTTTTTCTTATATAATTTGGCTAGTTCAAGCTAAAATGTAAACATTAAAAATTTAATACTACACTCATTTGAAACAAACAAACAAAATGTCTTTTAAAACCAAACTGCTTAACCCACATTTGGCCCACAGCTTTCATTAGACTATCAGGGCAAATAGTTTGTGCCACATTAACAGTTCCCATTGTGCCAGAAATGTAATTTGGATCTAACTATCATATAAACTAGTGAGTTTGTATATTTTACTGTCTCATGACGAAAACTCTAAAATGAAAGCTATAAGATCTTTGTGTATGTACATACATTTAGGTGTGTTTATGCATGTGTACATATGTTGTACATTGTATCTACACAGTATAATCTGGCATAGTGGGCCAGAAATCCCTTAAGAAATTCTATTCAAATTTCCTTAAATGGGTGCTAATATATGTAGCCATTAACCTAAATGTCTTTTATTTCATGTGATCTAAGTAGATCTTTGATAAATAAGCTGGTTTAAAAATCATTGATAAAACTAGAAATATCTTCAAAATTGTGAGCTCATGAAGCTGCTCATCAAGGTCAAGCAGAACAAAGATTCATCACATGAGATTAAATAATTGATGTTTTTATTATTTTTATTTAAAACATTATTAGTTCTTAAATGTTTTGCTTTCCAGTTTTAAGGATATTTTCTCTTAAACTCCCTATAAGTTATAACAATTTGGTAAAGTACACTTTTGCGAGCAGAGGTGGAAGCATTTGTTTTTTTCTCCCTTCTTGAGTCCTCCAAATTCTGAATATCATTCGTATTTTTATGGCAATAAGTTTACTTGCTAAGTTCAATAAAAATCGGCTCTCTCTTTACAACAGAATATAATTTAAAAAATTGTTTGTTACCAAGACTTTGACTGAAATGTCATACTTGTGAATGTGCATAGAATGCCTGTCAAGGATTCAAAGATTTATAGTGAGTAGATAAAACTGTCACTTCCTGGAAGTCCCAGGAACCTTAAGACTGTAAGTAAAATCTAAAGTCTGCCTTGGTTTGGCTTCCTAGCCTCCAGAAGTTTTTAAATCTGAGATTCCCGTGCAACAAATATACAGAGAAAATGTTTCTGAAGAAAAGTCCTAATAAACCTACTACTAGATGGTAGCTCTGTGCATTGTTTTCAAATTCTTGTTATTTACCTATAGACTAGACTTGAATCATCCTCATTCCTCCAGCTTTCTTCTATAGTTACTAAAATTGAATATACTGCTCTCTGCCTGATGCCCTATAAGCGGAGACTATATAGATTTTAAGGAACATGTCTATGTCTGATGTTTGGGCAACAGCCAATTTACCAAAACACTCAATACCATAACCAGAGACATTCAAACCGCAAACCAGGATGAGAAGTTGATGTTTCCATGCTGTAGACAGCTTTTCCCAAGACACTGGAACAAAACTCTGTGTCATAATAAGACTTTTACCCCTCTTAAAGCCCACCTTTTTCACTTGATGGGATAATAATCAATTGGTTTATCTAGTTGATTGCCTTTAAGCCTAGGTTCATGGCTCAAAACCATTATGCAGACTAGGATAGTCACATTACTAATAATTTTACTTCAAATTTCCACTTTTTAAACTTTGTATTTGTTACTTGTTAAATTTTTGTAGAAGTACAACTCCGAGCAGAATAACGCTGGCCTAGCATTTTGAGATGATAACAGAAGACTATGGAAAAAGACAAAATTGAACTTAATACTAGACTCTAGGTAGACTTAGCCTGATAGCCACTCCTTTCAAACCTCCCTTGTTGCTCAAATGTGGCTAAAAGGGTTTTCACAACAACTCCTACTCACCCATCACTACCCTTAGTGTGGGGTCAGACCAGCAACCCAGGGCAGGTCCATCTTGGCACCAGAGGACATCAGACTTAACTACAGGGGGATTGATCAGTGACGCTTTTGGAGAAAGACCTTGATAGAAAGTGGGAAATGTTAAAATTGTCAGAATCAAAATGGAGTCACCTGTGTTAAAAAATGCTCTGACAAATTGAGCTGCAAAAGGCCATAAAGGGAGGGTGGTCATGTGTCATTACCTGGTAACAAGAACAATTGCAAAAGATTCAAAGACTGCAACATTATACGAAAATAATTCTACAAGGCCATCTGTCCAGAAAGTGCCTGTCCAGCACTGAACTGTAATTTCCCTTGTTAAACATCCTCATTTTTCCTTTAAAAACCTTTGTCTTCTTTGACTCCCCTGAATGTACACATAATCTACTATGGCACGTGTATTCCATTGCAATGTCCTATTCTCAAATCGGTATCATTTGCTCTTAGAGCCTCCCCACCCCAGTTGCACTCTGGACATTTGGACAACAATGTGGATGAAGGCATCATGGCTCTCTCCCTACTCCTGAAACTGATGCTGCGGAGGGAGGTAGTGTGGCAGGAAGTCCTGAGGGCCTGTGAAAGTTGCAGCTTCTCTTCCATGGAGGGCGGAGAAAACAAGTTTTGGGGCGTTTACCATGGCTTGTTTTCATAGATCCCGCTCTCTTAGTTGAAGGGATGAGGAATTTATTTCAAAGTTATATAAGTGACAAAGAAATAGATGTAGAAGCAGCAGGGGTTTCAAGTGAGCAAAAAAGGAAGAAGTAGAAAGTTAATGTTTACATAAGGAAATCCGCATAAGAGGAATGAAAAAAACCTACTTCCAAAGCTAGGAATAAATGTGGGTCCTATAAAACTTGTATGAAAAATAATTAGATATGTAAATGTCCTTAAGAAGAAACTGAAGGGAGTGGTCAGGGTATTTCAAATGTAATAAAATATGTAGAGACCGTGTCCCTTTTTGGTAAACACTAGACAGGATTTTAAGGAAAGGAGCCCTGTGCCTTTGGCCTGTGGGTCAAGGTAATTCGTCAAGTGCAGGCACACAAACTGGCCTGTGAGCATATTCAGGGTTTTATTTTGTTTCTAAAGAGCAACAACCACTAGGAAACGTCTTTAGGTGACAGGAGTGAGCACCTCCTAGAAACACTGGGCATCTTCAGAGCCAAGGCATGGCCCAGCAGGACCCAGCGTCACCACCAGCTTCTCCTCTCTCAGGTGGAGACATATGCAAGTTTGAGGTTTCTGTTAAACAGCTGCCCGCAGAAGACTTGCTTCCTAACTCCTCACCTGAATTCTTTCCATCATTAATACCGTGGCCATTCTTCTCCCCATAGGAACAGCTCATTGCAATCTGGAACTTAAAATTTCAATTCTTACCGAGATCCAAGATGGCAGAAAAGGGACAGCTCTGGAGTGCAGTTCCCAGCGAGAACAACGCAGAGGATGAGTGATCACCACATTTCCAAATGAGTTATTACTGCCCACAGACCAGGAGATTCCTGGGCTGAAAAGCACCAGGAGTTTCCAGCACAGCTGTTTCAGCTGGCACAGTGGGTCTCTTGTACAAAATCTCACACAAATCTGGGCGGCCGGTTCAATTGGTACCTGGAACGCCTGGGAGACAGAGCCACCCATTCAACTGAAAAAAGGGGGGCTCAAACAGGGAGCCGGGTGATCTGGCTTGGTGGGTCCCACCTCTAGAGCAATCAGAAATGCTCTAGATTGAGGGTTTCATAGCAAGTGCAGCTGGACCTGGGATGGTCCAGCTCTGTGGAGGGAAGGGCATCCGCCATTATGCAGACAGTCTGCCATTACCGAGGCAATTTGCCATTACCGAGGCAGTCTGTCATTATGGAGGCAGTCCGCCATTACTGAGACAATTTGCCATTACTGAGGCAGTCTGCCATTACGGAGGCAGGCCGCCATTACAGAGGCAGTTCTAACTATACTTCTATAAACAAAACTGCAAGGAAGTTCACACAGCAGCTGGGCAGAGCCCATGGCAGCTCAACAATGCCTCTGCTGGCAGACTGTGACTAGGCTACCCCCTAGCTAGGCAGGGCATCTCTGCAAAAAGGCAGCAGCATGTCAGGAACTTATAAAGCCCCACCTTCCCAGGACAGAGCACCTGGGAAAAAAGGTGGTTATGAGTTCCACTGCAGCAGACTTAAACTTACCTGCCCAGCAGCTCTGAACAGAACAATGGAGCTCACAGCTCAGGACTTGAGCTCCTATAAGGGTCAGACTGTCTCCTCAAGCAGCTTCCTGACCCCCATATATCCAAAGAGACACCTCATAAAGAAAAGCTCACGCTGACATTTGGTGGGTATCCTTCTGCGACTAAGACAACGGAAGAAACTGGAAGAAACCCTTATTGTTCTGCAGCCACTGCAGATGATCCCCAGGTAAGCAGGGTCTGGAGAAGACCTCTAGCACTCCTATAGCAGAGGAACCTGACTGTCAGAAGGAAAACTAAAAAAAAAACAGAAAGAAATAACTTTATCATCAACAAAAAGAACGTCCAC